TGTAAATATTTAAAAAGAAAGACTTGACCTCAAGTGATTTCATGGATGCATCTATGTAGTTTTCTTTGACAACAACAAAAAAGTGATTTGTACTGTCTTCTTGTGAGCTTTTATTTATTTCCTTATTTCATTCCTTCCTAGTCTTACTTGCAGTTCTGAAGCTTTCTGGCAGTGCCTTATACAAGTATTAACTAGATGTGACCTAATTTATCTTTCTGAGAGTAACCATCCTCAAATAGGTAGACTAAAATATTAGGTTGATTTGTTAAAATCTACAAAACATTACAGCATTTTCAAAGGAACATTAATACATCTATATAAATATAATGGATATTCCTCCGCAGTAGTTATAAACTACTATACTCTAGGAATTAAACCATTCTATATCATTTTGATCAAGAAAATCTATCTTTCCCCATCCAAAAAACAAAAAAACCCACCTGTGACATTCTCATGGGGTGAAATGGTAGTTATCTATGAGGCAGAGCTGTACAACCATCTTTCTAATGATCTGTAGCTTCCCTAGTTTCTCACAGTTAAGTCCCAAAAGAGAATACCAGGCAGACTTTCCTCTCAGTGGGTCTTTCCAAGTGGGAGAATACATCTGCATAATTATGGAAAGATGTATTCTAACATAAAAATAACAGCACTGGTACAACACTGAGCTGGAATTAAGCTCAAAAACATCAACCAAAAATGATTCAAAATTATGAAAAATAAAGGCCTCATTTGCAGGAGAAAAAAATGTGGAACACATGGCTACTTATTTTTTTATCTGAAATCCACAAACAGATCTTACATATAAACACATANCACACACACACACACAGTTTTGCAACCTACTTTTCATGAAGTAGGCAAAAGTACAACTCCACTAAAAACATGGTTTGTTCATTCTCTATCTTTTTTGGAGTGAAGGAAGTGCTAAAAGTGCAGCAAAAAAGAGAGAAAAATTATCAGCACTGGCTGAAAAAAATAATATTTTATCAGGGGCTTAACTTGACCAAGATAATATATTATCAAGAAGAGAGGCTTGGCAAAGATAACACATTATCAATATTGGGAAAGAAGCTTGAGAAAATTGGGTGTTAATACCTATTTGAATTTAAATCAACCATCTGTGCTGTTTTTATTGAACTGTTATTTCTTGAAAGCCTTACTATTGCAAAAACTTTTTAATAAAATCTTTTCCTAAGTATGTTAAATCCCCCAAAATTACTTAGTGGGATTTGAACTCTGGAAAATTGAGATATTTCTGCATAATTCTACCAACTGTGATTATTCATAGATTTCCAGCCAATTGACCAGATACTGCTTTATTTCCTTGGGCTAACAGATCTTGGCTGCAAACTTCCAGTTGAACATTAAATAGGTAGTGATCATCCATAGTTTCGTAGCTCTCATCTGATAGCCACATTATGAATTCAGCCTAGATACTATTCATTACTGTAACATAGCCTGATAGTGGAGTTTCTTGTGAAATTGCACAAGTATTGTGTACAATACTAACTCTGCTCATTATTTTTCCATTTCCTTTTTCTCCATGTATTTTTTATTTCTTCATCAAATGTTAGACTATAAATTTTTCAGGTCTTTTTGTATTACACTCTTTAAGGTTCTGAACATGTTGATGAAACTACTATATATACATAAATGCACTAGGATAAATTACACAATGTTCTTGTCTATAATATTTACATTCTACTTTTCTTCCAAAATACTACTCTTCTTCCAATTGATTTGCACAATGATATTAAGAAGTAAATTAGGTTAAAAAAAAGTGATCTTCCCACAGTCATCAGTGAAATTCATGGAGGAATTGNTGACAAAATCATTTGCTATACACACACAATTACTGCATTTTAAAGTCTGCCTTGCCAAAATGACAGCCAAGATAGATTTGATGACTGAATGGGGCAAATATTGATGATTATTCCTCTTACAAGTCATGAGAATACTAAACAGAAAAAGAGCCTAAGTTGTTTACACAATTATAAAAGGGTGCCATTATTTCTGTACATCTACTGTCTTTCTACATAAAGTTACCAAGCTTGTGCAAAATATCAAAATCATAAATCTAGAAATACATAAAAATATATAAAAATATTAGAATCATAATGTTATGACCAATTCAAAACAAAAACAAGATAAGCCTCCAGTTATCAATTTCTTTCCAACCCAGCTTTTTGTGGAAGACATAAATAATCCCAGTTGCTGCCTTTTATATAATATAAACATCATTATAGTTATCAGTGCATAACTTCAATCACAATATAGTCCTTTGATAGTTTTCTAAGGTGTACATATTTACTGTATTCAGTGAGGCTTATTTTTTAAGAGATGTGAAAGTCTGAAACATGAGGAATGACTCATACAGAATAAAATTACATGAATACATGTAATAGATATGTTACGTATTTGTAACATACATTTGTGAGCCACATAGGGCTATGTAGCATAAATCTATGTAAATCTTTTAAATAAATATTTTAAATACATATTTTAAATAAATATCACTGCCTTGGTTTCAGAATACCCAAGCTTAAATTGTTTGTAAGATTCTTAATCTTTAACTCCAACTTTTGATATACCCTGCATATTCTGTCATTGATTTCATGAATGCTAATGCCTGCTATCCTATTCTGAAAAAAATAATCTGGGCTCATCTGAGTAAATATCATTGCCTTTTTCTCTCTAGAAGTCCTATATTCTCAGATTTTCTCCTGAGAGTATTTCCTTCCCAAATTTCCATGGCGTGCTGGGCAAAAATAAGAGGACGAAAGCATGTGGATTACTTGATTTGTACAAAAAAACGTCCTTTGCACAATAAGGGAGAAAGCACCAACTAGATTTCACCATTATTACATATACACACAAAAGGACAGCCATATAACACTATATTAAATACTACTGGTCAGAACTGATATAGCACTAAGCTACAAAGTAGCTTGTATAAGGTGCAAGGTAATTTGTTTTTGGTTTATCATTATGTAAACTCAGCTCTTGTGGTTTGTTGATAGATTAGCATAAAATCAACCCTTTTTATTATTGATTCAAAAAATATGGTTACAACATAATGTCATAGGTTAATCTAGTTACTATACAGAATCAAAAAATTTGATTGAGGAAAAACTGAACTATATTGACATAATAATTTTTCAGTATGCATACACAGGATATAAAGTTCCAATAAGATATACAATTCCTGTGAAATATATATAAGGTAAAGGTAAAGATTCCCTTCACACATATGTGTTAGTCATTCCTGTCTCTAGGGGGCAGTGCTCATCTCCATTTCAAAGCCGAAGAGCCAGTGCTGTCCAAAGATGTCTCTGTGGTCATGTGGCCAGCATGACTTAATGCCGAAGGCGCATAACAGCAGGTAAATGCTGTTTCCTTCCCAGGTGATTCCTAGTTTTCTACTTGCATTTTTATGTGCTTTCGAACTGCTAGGTTGGCAGAAGCTGGAACAAGTGAGAGGAGCTCACTCC